TAAATCTACTGAACAATATTTTTTGTCGAAAAGAAATCGAAGTGCCCTGTAAGCACGCCTCTAGATTTTCCAGATTAATTACACCATGTCCGAACAATACCTCATAAGGTTTTCAAAAAACTATTAAAATTTAATTAAAATCAGTCAAAGACCTTCGTAAATATTATTAAAAAATTAATACTCTATATATCAAAAAGAAAACACACTACCTTCATTTATATAAATCTATTTAAAAAATATATATATTTAAAAATAAGTCACAATTATTAAATTGTGTGTAAATTGTATTAATTAATAAAAATAATGATTACCAATCGATAATAATTAAATTGGATCATTAAAGATTATATTAATAAAAGAAAAAAAATGCTAACTCGCCTATTTAAATATCAAAATTTAATTTATTTTACTCATATTCCCGTTCTATGTTACGCCCATGTCTGAATTAAATTGCATCATTAAAGATTATATTAAAAGAAAAAAAAGCAAACTCGCCTATTTAAATATCAAAATTTAATTTATTTTACTCATATTTCCGTTCTATGTTACGCACATGTCTGAATTAAATTGCATCATTAAAAGAAAAAAAAAATGTTAACTCGCCTATTTAAATATCAAAATTTAATTTATTTTACTCATATTCCCGTTCTATGTTACGCCCATGCCTGATTTGTTTCTGGTTTACTCAGAAAATGGATGCCACGCTACGTCAGGCATGCGCCGATGATGCTTTATAAATTCAAGATCAATCTTGCCGGCGTCATTCAATTTAATCGATTTAATTTATTAAAATTTAATAGAAAATCGTAACCAACAATGTTTTAGATTAGAAACGAGGAGGAATAAGGTTTATAGTAAAAATATAGCACGATTCTTACCGCAATATGTCTTAAAATCTAACAGGTTTTTGGCTAGAACAAGATTGTAACAAGAGCTGTGTTGTTCTGAAAACTGGACCACCTTCTTTGAATTGTCGTAAAATCTTTAGTTGATATTGTAAATTTTTTGTTTTTGAATCACTATCTGGTTCTTAATAGGCAAAAACATGTAAAACCGGCAGCAAAAATGTCCGTTTTTGTTCATTCAAAATAGGTTAATTTTGATAAAAACGCATATTAAAGACCAAAAAACAAGAATATTTCCTACGTAGCTAACATTAAAACGGAAAGGAACGCAATTTTATTACACAACAAAAATTTTTACTATCAAAATACATGTCTGCATCTTTTTTGCTGTAGGTAGGTACCTACATAACATTAGCCAAAGTCTCATTGCAAAGATTCCGAAAGTCAATAAAATGTAGAGAAATTCGATTCTTATAAGCATAAAACTTACCTAATAATAAATGTATTAAATCTGATTCTTCATGTTTCTATCACAAAAAAACATAAATCACAATGATTCTTTCTGAAAAAATGTTCTTTCACTTCTCCACTCATCAGCAGCCATTTTATGAAAGTAATTTTCTCATTGGTTAATTAGACATTCCAAAAAATTAAACACGGTGCTAAGGTTTGGTATGTCTGAAGGGTTGCGACACATGATTTAGTCTATCTACAATACGTAAAATCATAAATAATGGATTAAATTTAAATATTTTATGTCAAACACATTGGAAATATTATTTAATAAAACCCACTTATACGTTTTACTATAAATTACCATGCTTGGCGATTACTATATCAAATAAAAATTGCGTCGAAGATGGAAGGTTATGTCGCAATACCCTTAGATTTGCACTGACAGGTTCACAGGACAGGTTCACAGGACAGGTAATAAGAATCCATAGCCTACTCAATTTTTGTTATGTTTAATTCAAGCATCTGCAAATACGTCACCAGGATTTTACCAACTGATAGTTTATAGAAAAATAAAGGTAGTTTTTTTTCGAAAACATTGTGAAATTTTATTTCCTTTTTGATGCACAGGATGTTAGAGTTTTATTTTAAAATACTTCTTTTTATAATTCTGTACTTATTCAAAAAAAAGAGTGACTAATTTTAATGAAATTTTCGTAGATTTTTGACAGCTTATGAAGTGACTTTTAGATAATGATTCTACAACATTTTACAGTTTATACAGTGTGGTTCAAAAACTCTGCATTATCCAAATTAACATGTCCGAAATATTTTCATTCATAAAAGTTGGAAATTTGGCATAAAATCAAATATTAATATAAAATATAATGTTCGAGGGAACTCAACAAAACAGATTGTGCAACAATTTCGCAGAGCAAAATTTCATCTAGGTAGGTACTAGCGCATACATTAAACGAGTGGGAAAAGTGTTTTGTGCACATGTTGCACACTATAATTTTTCTACGACCTTAATTTTTATAGCTTACAAAATGTAAATAGGTATATTATATATTTTATTTATTTTTGAATGTAGCTAGGTGGCATATGCAACGACATGCGTTAATTTGAATGTAGGTATACAAGGTGGTCCAGTTTATATCATTATCGAAAAATAAAGATAGTTTGTCTGGTAAAACATGGTTCAATTTTGTTTACTTTTTGATATATTGAGTGTTAATTTTTTTAAAATTGTTTTTTAATAATAGGTATCTAAAAAAAGTCTAACCGATTTTAGTGAAATTTTCATTTAGTGGTGTTTTTTGGACATGATTTTACAGTTTATACAATATGATTCAATATCTTTGCATCTTCAGAATTTTTTTATTAACATGTCAGAAAAACTTTAATTTATAAAAGTAGAAAGTATGGTCTAAAATCCAATACTTAATTTAAAAGTGTCATGTACGAGGAAACTCAACTCAATATATTAGATTTTGTACCAATTTCTCAAAGCGAAACTTTACCATAATTTAAACGAATCTGCACATTTTGCACACTACAATTTTTTTACGACCTTAATTTGTAGAGCTTACAAAATGTAAAAAGGTATATGTATTATAGATTTTATTTATTTGTGAACAGTGACTAGTGCAGTTAAGGGACAACAATATGCGTTCATGTGAACGTAGTTATACATAATGCTCCACTTTATATCGTCAGGATTTTATTTTATTTTAAATAGACTTGCCTTGATGTCGACGCAGCACTAGCCTATTCAAATCCAGTTAGGGGGCAGCAGGTGATCTACATCAGGCAATTGGAGAGCAAGTCAGAAAGGATATTTGCTTTGGACGAACATAGTAGAGAGGGATTATTTATTTCAAACGTTACTCCACAAGAAATCGAAGTAGAACATTACAAAGAAGAGATGATAAACTATACGAATTTATCTTTAAAGAAGAATCGGAAGGAAGCTGCAAGAATGAAAGCTTAAAAGAAGAAAAGAAAAGATTTAAATTGACCATGTTAGAGTTGAAGAAATTTAATGGGGATGTAAGAATCTGGATAGGTTTTTGGGCACAATATAAGAAGACGATTACATAGATGATGAAGATAAGTTTCAATATTTGATTGAGGCCAAGGAACCAGGATCTATTGCCAGAAAAATTGTAGAAAGTTTTCCACCATCAAAGGCACTAAACAAATTAAGAAATCGTTGCGCTAGGGACGAGATGCTGGGTATCATAGAATAAATAAAGGACGAAAATCCTCATAATGGTCCAGTATAATACTATTTGCCACATCATGTAGTCATAAAGGAAGCAAGTAAAACAACCAAAATTAGGCCAGTATTTGATGCATCAGCCAAGGATTGACTAGTTGTTTACAAACAGGGCCGAATTTTATTGAATTAATTCCATCTTTATTAATAAAATTCAGATTAGGGATTTTAGGAGTCACTCCAGACATTAAAAAAACGTTTTTACAAATAAGTATTTCTCATGCAGACAGAAAATTTTTAAAATTTTATTGGTAGAGCAATTGTCAGGAAAAGATAAAGAAAATTTTTAGGCACTGCAGAGTAGTTTCCGGAGTTAAATGTAGTCCATTTTTATTAGCAGCTACCATAAACTCATATATCATATTCTTCACTACATTTGAAGGATACAGCAGAAAAATTATGTTGATAATCTTATTACTAGTGTAATAATAATAAAAATAATAATAATATATATTTACTCAATAAAAGAAATACAAATTAGTAAAAGGAGTTATACTCGTAAATAGAAGACCACAGTAGGACAGGCCTGTTTGTGAGTTTTAACATATTCGAAAATATTTATTAATCATAGCTAACAAATTAAACTACTTATAAATAGAATAAGATGATTGATCTACCGTTAAACTATAAGTAGATACAAGAAAGTAATGAGAGAAGTAGAAAACACTTCAGTGAGACATTAAATATTTATTGTTACCTAAAATAGTTGTAAGAAAAAGAAACCGTTAATTTAAAATTATAAATAATATTGTATTTAATTTAGGAAGGAAATAAATAATATTCATTATTATTAATTTGATTTACACAAAATGAGAAATTTATAATTTATTTTCTTTACCATTCAATTTGATGCCAATAAAACCGAATAAAAAAAAATTGCAAATTACAAAACTTAAATAATATCACGTTCATATATCAATAAAAAAAATTAAAATAAAAACGTCAATATATACATATAGCAGACTCTCCAATAAAACCAAAGATTTGGCAACGGTGTTTCAAAAGGTAGCGGGAACAGCATGCAGTAAGATTTTTTATGAATAGCCGACTTTTAGTAACAGAATAATACGTTGAGGACGCCACTTCACTGACTCGTTTATATCAAACAGTCGGTATAGTAGGAAGTTGGACGATTGGTACTAACTTTGTCCAATAGGTAGCAGATGCTGTTGTACAGCATAGAAATTTTTAAAAGCGCCGTCTGCATCTGTTCTATTGTACTACAATTGTATTTCGGAAGATATCGTTTTAAATATTTTGATATCGATTATATTATTTTATATGTAACAAGAATGAATAAATACATTCTGAAGATGTGTACTAGATGGCACTATTGGAAAATGAAAAATATTATTTTGTATTAAAAGTATTTTAATTTTTATAAAATTATTATATACACTAAACTAAGTAGTAATCACAGTGTTAGTTAAATTATTTAGGTGTAAAGTAATTGTTTTGTAAAAAAAATAATATTGTTTAGAAATATGGTAGTTTTTCAACTCTGATATTTAATATAATGATTATACTTTTGTGGATTAAAAAAATTAAGATATTTTATTTTTTTCTAATATAAAAAATTATTTAAAAAATTCGGTATTTGTTAATGTAAATCTGAAAATCGAAATTAGTAGCTTTATTATGGTTTTTAAGTCAAAAAACATTGTATGAAAAGCAATATTTGATTTTATGCACGACCGGACGATAAAGTCCAGTTCATAAATACGTTTAGCGAGCGAAAAGTGTCCCTTTATCGCCCGCGAACTACTTTACGTCTTAACTATTCTACTTAATTTGGAATCTGCAAAAATATTACAAAAATTAAAAAATATTCAAATTTATTCGACCTGTTATATTGTAAAATCTATTAAAAATGTATAATCTCTTATCTCTTTCTGTGAACCGGCGGTATATAACTTGGATTCGAATTGGATTTAAAACCTTGAATAATATCGGGACTTAAATATGGCAAATCTTCTGGTCGCAACAATCCTTTGGGCAAATAACCGCTGAGATGCTGGACGTGCTCTTGCAGCATTTTCACCCTTTCTTCTTCTATTATCTTATCCCTAAAACACAAAACAATCGATTATATTATAAATAAAACAATGCCTCATCGAATTTAAATAATTTTCGTCAATGAATTAAAAAATTAAATGAAAATATTATAAATTTAATAAAATACTTCAACGTATTTAAATAATTCAACAAACTAAAATACTTTAATGGATTTTTTCTACGTTCATGCAAAAACAAAACTTTATAAAAACATTTAGTGAAAAAACTGGTTCTTTACTGCACTAGTGCAATAAAAATTTTATTGCACTCATCTGTCATTTTACTAAAGCGTTTTATGATCATGACAAACATAAATATTCAAATCGACGCCAAATATTTAGTCCATTTTCATTTTCCGTGAGATTGTATTACGTTTTAAAAACAATTGCATATTTTATATTATTTTCAATCATTAAATAAATAAATTATTAAAAAATGTATTTTCTTAACATAGTTATAGTACTTTTTCAATGTTAATCGATGCTAATTATTAATTATTAAATATTTTGCTATTAAATTACGCTTTTTATTCTTCTGCACTTAGTGTCACCTAAATAAAACATTTTTTGGTTTTTGCATGAACGTAGAAAAAATATTGTACGCAACTCGTGCAATGCGTTACTTTTTGCACTTGTTACATAAATAACTATTAATACATCAATAATTCAATGTAATTAATAAACTTAAATGAATCAAAATACTTTAATGAAATAAATTAAAATACTTTAACAAAGTAAAATAATTCAACTAATTAAAATATTTCAATGTAATTAAAAAACTTAAATGAATTAAAATACTTTAATAAAACAAACTAATATACTTCAGAAAATTAAAATACTTCAACGAATTAAAATACTTTTATGCAATTAAAAAGTTTTAATGCAATTAGAAAACCTAAATGAATTAAAATACTTCAACAAATTAAAATAATTTACTTTTATGAATTAAGAAACTTAAATTAAAAAACAACAATAATTGTATTAAAGTATTTCAATGAATTAAAATACTTGAAAGAATTAAAATACTTGCCTTCGTTCTGCTTCCCTGTTTACTTCCTCTTCGATTGCTATCTGCAACTGGAATTCTTCAGCGTGTTTGGCCCTGCGTTCTTCTAACAGCTTTTCAACGTCCTTTCTCATTTGAATCAATTTCAGTCGCTTTCTCTGAGCAGAAAGTTGTTCCAATTTTTCGTCTTCTATCATTTTCGCAAGTATCTATAATAAAAATTAGATAACAAAATTCGTAAAATGAAACATTATTGTATAATTATTAATAAAGGCGCTAAAAATAAATAAATAAATTAATAGAAATTAATAGAAATTCGTAGAAATTCGTAGAAATTCGAAGAAATTCCAAGAAATTCCAAGAAATTTCAAAAAATTTCAAGAAATTTCAAGAAATTTCAAGAAATTTCAAGAAATTTCAAGAAATTTCAAGAAATTTCAAGAAATTTCAAGAAATTTCAAGAAATTTCAAGAAATTTCAAGAAATTTCAAGAAATTTCAAGAAATTTCAAGAAATTTCAAGAAATTTCAAGAAATTCCAAGAGATTCCAAGAAATTCATAGAAATTCTAAGAAATTAATTCATAGAAATTCATAGAAATTCATAGAAATTCATAGAAATTCATAGAAATTCATAGAAATTCATAGAAATTCATAGAAATTCATAGAAATTCATAGAAATTCATAGAAATTCATAGAAATTCATAGAAATTCATAAAAATTCATAGAAATTCATAAAAATTCGTAGAATTTTTTAGAAAAAAAAAGAAGAGCGCAACAAACAAAGAAGTTTTGCAGAACTTCATCAGAATGTAGGAAACTTCTAAACTCTAGAGAACAACAGTTCATATAAAATAAGAAGTATCTTTATACAAGATAAAAACATTAAAATTATATATGAGGCTATGAAAAGCTAAGTGGACTAACCCTCTAACCCACAAAATTGTAGTTTTCTCTTTTTGATACTATTTGAATCTTGATACCCATATCTATCAAGAGCAAAGCGGACTAAGCCACCTTTTATAATGGATCGCTAGATGGCAGTGCTATAGTTGTTTTGCTTTTGCGCAATTAACATATTCATTCAAAAGCAAAGTGGTCTGCACTTAGCCCATTGTGCCGCTGTAAACTAAGTATTAAACGTAATAGAAGCGTATGTTTAGTTGTTTGTGTTCAATTTATAAGTTTTTTTACTAAATTATTTAATATTTTGCAAATTTGTGAATACTATAAGCGATGTAATTGACGATAAGTACTCTTGCTTATGAATGAGACTTTTATGTGTTCAATTTTGAGGTTATGTAGTACATTAGTATTGGGAAATTTATTGATTTACAAACATAATAAATATAATCCTAAAAGTATATAAAAATAAATGAAAATAATTCATTATTTTTTAATGTTAAAACAAAATGAAAATATTTTGCAGATTCATCGGACTCTGAACCATTTCGTGCCTTCCGATGAATAATCAGCAGATGAACCTTCTGTTACTGACCCACCAACAGCATCCAGGGATGTTAAGAGTAAAAAGCGAGTTCGCAAACAAGAAAAGTGGACAAGAAATGTTGCCAATGTGAAGAGTATACAACCAGATCCAATAAAGTTGTTCCTGCAAAGACTTTCAATCCATGTGTATGCAGTTGTAAACATCACTATAACAATTTGATTCCTGAGGAACATGAAAGAGCTTTACATCATTGAAAAACTTTGATTTTCAGACCGCGCATCTGTTTTCCTTAATCAAAGTTGAAAATAAATTGCATACGTACACTGGAAATCTACAGAGCAGAAGGGAAAAGACGAGGATTTTCCTACTAACAGACGAAAATGGCGCAGAGCGAAAAGTCTGCAAAAAAAATTTTCAAGCAGCATATAAGCTTTGTTTTTTTAAGTTTTTTTCGATAAATATTATTGTGGTAAACAGACCGCGGAAAGATTATGTTTCGGCTACTCTACAGTTTAGAAATATTTTAATAAATATGGTACCCTCGGATTTCTATTGATGTTTTCATTCTTTTCAGGTTTCTGCTGGGAAAATCGACAGAATCTTAAAAAACAAGTCAGAGGGAGCACTTACCCCTCAAGACCATTGGGGAAAACATATTCCAAGTAATAAGACACCAGTTGCGAAAGAAAATTAAGTAAAATCCTTTGTTGAAAAATGTCCATGTTAGTAATCATAGAAAATATCTAGCACCGGACTTGAGCATAGGAAAGTTGTTTGACCTGTATAAAGCAGAAACAATGGATCCTGTTTCATATGCTATTTTCAGAAGAATCTTCAATACACAGTTCAACTTACACTTTCACCCACCTATTTCTGATTCATGCAGAAAGTGAGACTTTTTCAATGTCAAACTAAAGGCATCAAATGAAGAGCAGAAAAACAACTTGAAGCAGTTCTAGAACTCCATCAGAGGAAGGCAAAAGCAGCAAGGAATGGCCTGAAACATGATATTCAACGGGCAAAAATAATGAAATTTCTGTAATATGTTTCGATTTAATGAAAACATTACCGACGCTAATCTTAACGACTGGAATTTGTTATTATAAGAGGCAATTATGGACTTATATGTATATCTGGGACGAAACCGTCGCATCTCAAGGACCCCAAGAGATAGGTTCCTGCCTGTTTAATTACATTAAGAATTTCCAAAAATCAAGAAAATTAATCATGTATTCAGATCAGTGTGAGAACCAGAACCGTAATATAAAACTGTCGCTGCTCTGTAATTTCATTACGGCATCTCCAGATTTTATTGTAGATTAAATTAATCATTAATTCCTGGTGAGTGGCCATTCCTATCTCTCTTGCGATCAAGAATTCGGTCTTATTGAGAAAGAGAAAAAATTTCATCCACACATTTTTGTACCTTTAGATTGGATTTCGGTTATAGAAAATGCTAGGAAGAAAAATTCGTTTTAGGTAATTTAAATGACAACATCTGACTTTGTGTTGACTAAACTATTGGAAAGTAACGTTATGATAAGAAAACTATCGGAGTCACAAACCAAGGTAGAATGGCTGAAAATCCAATAGTTACGGTTTAACAAAGAATCTCCTGATAAAATTCAATTTAATATTCACTTTTTATATGGTAAGGAAAATTGGAACCAAAATAAACATAAATAAAAATATTATGTGTTGGTCCATTTTTAAAAAAATTTAAAGCCAATTATCTCTCATTATGCCAATTGGGGTTGGTCAACTTAGCTTTTCATAGCCTCATCATATTGCTTACCTCTTCTTTATACTTTTTCTCTTCTTCTTGATCTCGTTTCCTCTTTTCTTCCACCTCCTTCATCTGATCCATCAATCCCGATTTTGCTTCAAGCTTCAATTTCAACTTCTTTTTTAACTCGTCCTTGTATCTATTTTCTTGTTTCAGTCTTAATTCTTCCTCCTTGAGTTCCTGAATGATGGCGTCTCGTTCTTTTTTTGCTTCCTAAATAATAATAAAAAAAAAAACAAAATGAAAAATTAATTAACATGGATAATTGGATAATTTTTCGAAGTAGATTTTGACTTACTCTCATTTTAGCTACGTCTAATGCCATTTTATCTAGCAGTTTTTCTTTTTCGGCTTGTTTTTTCGCTTCTTCTTGCGCCCTAAGGGGAATAAATGATTGATAATTCGAAATAAAAATTGTTAACATTTAATATAAAGTGGAAAATCAGGAACTAGTAGAAGAATTTCCAAAAGTATTATAGATATTTGTTGCTGATGAATATTCAACTATAATAATTTTATATACCCTTTTAAACGACCTATAATTTAAAAGATATGGTTTAAATAGTAATATAAGTACCTAACATCTTGTCGAGTACTAATCTCAAGCAAATATTCCTCGATCCTTCGATTCTCTTCTTCAATCTCATCCATCCTTTTCTTCTTCCACTTCTCTTGCGCTTTTTTAAAAGCCACTATTTCCTTTTGAGTCCTCTTCATCCTACACCATTTTTCTTCTGCAGCCTTTTCGTCTTCGTCATGGATTCTTTTAATAACATCGTCGATTAATTTCTTTTCTCTCAAATATTCTTCATATAGATAACGTTTCGATTTTTCTCTCATTATGAGCTGTTCTTGAAGGTCTTTTTTGTATTCAGCCTTCTTTATCATGTCCTTTTGTTTTAGATGGTTGTTGTGTTCCTTTTCGGTGACCCAGGCCTTTGTCATGGCGTCGTAACATTGTGCATCGTGTATCTTCAAATAAATAAGAGAATTTATTGAAGAATTTTCTTCATTTAAATAAAAGAACGCAATTTTAAAAATTCATAGAAATTCTTAGAAATTCATAGAAATCCATAGAAATTCATAGACATTCATAGAAATTCATCGAAATTCATAGAAATTCATAGAAATTCATAGAAATCCATAGAAATTCATAGAAATTCATAGAAATTCATAGAAATCCATAGAAATTCATAGAAATTCATAGAAATTCATAGAAATTCATAGAAATTCATAGAAATTCATAGAAATTCATAGAAATTCATAGAAATTCATAGAAATTCATAGAAATTCATAGAAATTCATAGAAATTCATAGAAATTCATAGAAATTCATAGAAATTCATAGAAATTCATAGAAATTCATAGAAATTCATAGAAATTCATAGAAATTCATAGAAATTCATAGAAATTCATAGAAATTCATAGAAATTCATAGAAATTCATAGAAATTCATAGAAATTTATAGAAATTCATAGAAATTCATAGAAATTCATAGAAACTCATAGAAATTTGGTTTAGATGGTTGATGTGTTCCTTTTTGTTAACCCAAGCCTTTGTCATGGCTTCATAAGATTGCACATCCAGGATTTTCAAATAAATAAGATAATTTACTGAAGAATTTTATGTTTAAATAAATTTTAGAGTTTGTCATTGATTAACTATAAATAAAATTTCTCTAGTTCTACATATGTTTCAGAATACATTTTCTTTGTCTTCTGGCGCAGTCAGTATTAATTTAAAATCAAAGGATAAAACAAACATTTAACATTTTAAAGTGTAAAGTTTTATGTACTTTTCCCCCCGATATATTTTTTAAGGAACAAATATAAGAAAGAGCCTTTAATATTAATAATATGAAAAATGGGAATATAAATAATTTAAACAACTGGTGAATATAGACTAACTAAAACCAATTAAGCATAAATAACAGATATATTCCATAAAATAGAAAAGAGACCTTCTAGAAAGTACCCCCAGATGTTCCCACTATGCCCAAAATCTATTCAAATCACCGCAGGATGGAATAAAGCCTAAGTTTAAATGATTCCTATACTTTCCTATCTGTATACAGAGAGGAAAGTAAAAAAGGATAACAAGAATACAAGAAAATAAATATGAGCTGTCTACATACCTTTTCATTTAGTTTTACAGCTTCCTTTTGTGCTATTTGTGCAGCTAAAGCTTTATTTACGTAAGCTGCCTTCAGTTTTCTCTCTAGATCTCTTAATTCGGGAGCATTTTCTCTAAGTTGCTGCCTATAACAATAATGTTAAATAAATGCAAAGTTAATAGGAACTTTTGTCATTTAAGTAAACTTGCTTTAGTTCCTTCAAAATTCGCTATAAATTGTCCAGTGGAATATCAAACTATTCGTCTTGTTCAACATACCTTAATTTATGCTCTTTAAATTCTTCTCTTTTTATAGCTTCCAATTCTCTAGCTAAATCGTTACCTTCTTGCAATTGCCTCTCTTTCATAGCATAATGTTCTGCTACTTTCAGTCTATTTGTCATTTCCTCACATTCTCTTCTCTGTGTATGACAATATCTTTCGAAATTTCTATTTCTGTTTTTATACGTTACATGGTCGATTACTTTAGATTGATAATCATCTGGATCCATGTCCTTGAACTGGTCATTAAAAGAATTTATACCAAATATAAAATTGGGAATGAAATGTGAAAGTAGGGTGAACCGTCCGGTTATTGACCACGTCCCAGTAAATGACCAATATTTACTGATTTATTAATAATTTTTAATAACCTAAAGCATCATATTATACAGCAAATTGATCCTCATCTAATTCTCAAATTTTTTTATACATTTGACAATTATATTCTAATAATGATGGACACAGAAACTGATGATTATCAGGAAATTGAAGAAATTAGAAATGTAGATTATATAAATAAAGAAAATCAAGAAAGTGCCCTGGAGATTACCCAAAAAAATGAAAATATATGTGAACAAATTGAGGAAGAAATGGAACATGTAGAAAACCAAGACAATACTCAAAATTAAAGCATCCAAATTAAAAATCAAAATGAGGAAAATGATGAGTCAAAAGAAACACAATTGGATTTAAATTTTAGCTCAAAAAAATCTCTTAAAGTCCAAGATTCCTGGAAACAACACTTAATTACACTTTCCAAAGTTGGAAATTGTCACTAAAAAAGTGTTAAAGAAAAAGCCTCTTTAGCAATTACTTCCAAATATTGGAAAGAATATCATGAGAGAAAGATGAACAAAAAAGAATTGCTGAAGAATTAAAAGAGCAAAGAAAAAAGGTTAGAGAGGAAAAAAAAACGTAGACGTGTAGAATTAAACAAAAATAAAGAAAATAGACCAAAAAAGTTAAAAAAAAAAGAGAATCTTCTTCAAGTTCAAGTGATTCGAATATTTCAGATGAAGAATCTTTAGAGGAACAAGAAAACCAGGATGAAAATGAAACCAATGATTCTATGCCACCAACTACATTTACCATTGCTGATTTCGTGATTGTCAAATATGAGAACAGTTATTTTCCCGGTGTTGTTATACAAAAACAAAAATGAGAATATGAAGTGCGAGTTATGTGTAACAGTGCACAAAATTGGAAATGGCCAGAAAAAAATGACCAAATATGGTATAAAAAAGAGGATGTTATTAAAAAGATTGAACCACCAATGCTGATATGTAGTCGAGGAAATGTGTATTCAGTTCCTGAAATGGAAAAGTATGAAACACTGCTTTAATTTTTTTGAACTAAGTATTTATGTTTTCTTTTAGATAATAAAGTAGTTTTGTAGTCATTTACTGGTATTTTATGTGATCAATTACTCAAAGGAACTGGTCATTTACTAGGATTTTATGCATTATATCTTAAAAATTATCGAATATTTTAAACAAATAAACATGTTTACATTTTTATGTTAAAAAAGTTAAATTAGTAAACAAATTCATCCAGCTATTCCTTGCTTTTTCTTTTAAAAACAAAACAAACATTTTAACAAATAAGTATATATCACTGTTGCCTAAAGTGGTCATTAACTGGATGGTTCACCCTTCAATAGGGTAATATTTTAGGGCGGCCTATCTTTTTATATGTTATATATTTCGAATTTTCAAACATATTTGGATCATTATAATTATTATTTGTATGCAGACGATACTTATATTGTACACAACTTGAATTTAAGCATGCTAACACACAACAAATGGCTAAATAAATCATTTTTTTCTTATCAGACTACATCCGTTTGTCATCTATCTTTTATTAATAGCTTTTAAAAGAAAACATGGATACATTTTTCAGCAATAGTATCTGTACTATCTGTATATTATATTTCTACAGACAAATATAAATAATTTTCAGTACAATCTCATTATTTACAGACTTTTATTGTATTATTTCTCTATAGTTAAGAATTGTTTGTATTAAGATTGCACAATTTTAGTAATTGATGTATTATTTATAATTTAATCCATAATTACTCTTACTCTCTATAGTTAGGAATTCTTTGTATTAATTTTTATGTTATTATCAATATAATGATTATATTTTCTTTATGGTTAACAATAAAAGATTTATTATTGGTGCTGGTGTTAATAATAAGTCAGTATTCTTTATTATGAAGCCTACAGAAATACCATATATATCAAATCTACACATGTAAATGCATCTTAAATTAGTAAAAAAAACTAATTCAGTGTCTCGTATTCTTGCATAAAAAGATTTACCTTGCAAGGTAAACTTCAATTATCCTTGTCCTTTTGAGAGTAGATTAGTAATTTTAGTATTTTGGCTTAAAAAGTGTCCTACATTTTTTCAGCCTGCATCAATTGTATTGGTTAGAACAAATCAAAACAATAGAATTTTGAATATGGAAGCTTACATAGGCATTAAAATGAATGATTAATTCAAACCCAAGATAATAACCCAGTTTACTTTTTTGAGGAAACGAACAATTCATGCAGAACTATATCAATATTTATTAATAATATAATTCAAACTCTATTATTTGTTTCCTCATATTTAGTCATGCATCTTCTATTAGTTTTATAACATTAATGGACTAAAGTAAATTATAATTGAACATAATACATAGAGTTGTTAGGTTCTTTTTGAATCTAGTTATTATTAAGTCTTGGAACTTGATAAACAAACAAAATAACACTTTAAACAAGAAATAATACCCACCTATTATTATCACTAATGTGGTAAACGGTCACTAATCTTTGTAAACGTTTTTATCCCTTCATAAAGTTGATTATAATTTTGTCTTTTATTGTTTATATAGGTTAGGTTTCAAATAAAAAAAAAATAGTTACAATAAATGATTTTACGAGTAGGTAGTAGGTATCTAAATATCTCATCACTACCTCTAATATATGAATTGATGAGCCCTTTTAGCTATTTATTATAGATAAAAATTATATTTTAAATTTACTTACATTACCAGTATCTTTAATTTGAGAAGACTGTCCATCGTCAAATTTGGTTACTTCTTCTTCTCCAGGTGCTTTTACTTCTTTTCTTGGAGAATGGTCAAGTCCGTCATACATTTTATTTGTTTAAATATTCAAAAGTTTATTAATTAAATTATAAAATAATATTTATCCATTCAAAAATTATTAAACGTCAAAATTGTTGCCAGTTGTCATAACAACAATTCTGTCTTCTTCTTTTATTTTATCTTTTTTTTAAGGTGCCTTGAATTTGTCAGTATTTAAGTCCCTAAATATGGTTTATTTAAAAAAACTCTTTTACGAGTTAATTTAATTTAAAAATGATTTTTTGTTTTCATCTTTTTGTTCTATACACAAAATTAGCTATTCTTATTCTACTAATTAGGTATTAACATTTTTTATCGCATAAAAAATTGTTTCGCTGCTTTATGTTACTGCAGTTTATAAAAAAGTAACAAAAAAAGTTTTTCTGAGTATTTTTTGAAATTACTTTAGAAAAGTTGTTACCTAAAATTATTATTATTATGTTCAGTTTTCTTTGTTTTCGTTTTTAACGCTGATTGCCCACTTTAGATCCATTTGATGGCCAGAACGTCCATATCCGTATTCGGACTTCCAATGTACGTCCATTTATGGTCATTAATTTGACAGCTGCAGTGGCGTTTGCCCGTAAGGGCACTTGGGCATGTGCCCTAGTATAATAAACCAAAAAAAAAAAAAATAACTTACATATTTTATATTTTCCTCAATGCCTATTATTATTTTATCTAATATTCAGCGCAAACCGTGTTGGCACAACACTGGACGACAGGGCGTTGAGCGACGTTCCGAGAATTCCTAAATTAAGAATATCGCTTAGCAAGAGATGAACACATGCGATGGATTATACGTCACAAGCAGGGCATTGTCCTCATCGTGATGTGCTGTACCCAGATACGAATGTACGTAGCGGCATCTTTACCGGCTCCCTCACAAAGGCGATGCCGGTTTCGGCTTAAGGTGCGCGTTTATTGGGCCATGATAATAATTTATTTATTGTGATTACGAAAAAAAGTTAGTTGGACCAGTGGAATAGTTAAGAAATAAAACTACAAAGAAAAATAACTTTTTTTTATAAAGCAGTCAAAAATATGATGAAAAAAAAATGAATAATATTTATAAATGGGATAATATTTTAATTTTTCTTTTGGTTTTGTCTGACTTTTTCGAGGATTTCAAATCTCTGTTTGCATATTTAAGAGTATAAAAAATAATTCTTACAAATAATTTAATGATATACATTTTCGCAAATTGTTGGTAAGGATGACCAAATTCTATTTTGCTCATCTCAAAAAGGGATGCGTTGGAAATTCCAGGCTTAGTTGACAAACTATCAAATAGAGATATAAATATTTTTTCTAATTTGAAAATATAAAAGAGAAATTTTTCGCTGGGAGATTTTAAATTGCCAAACACCTTTTCTTCAGAGTCGTATGCTTTAAAATGCTCCAACACGATGGAATTTTACATCGAAGTGTGTCAATACTATTCATGTTTATAAAGAGGATTTGATTGAATGTATCGAAGAAATTATGAACACAGAATTCGGTAAAAAAACTATTAATCAGACTAAAGGGTTGATAAATTTTGAAAGACAGATTTTAGTTTCTGGTTATTTTTCTTCAGCAAAATAATGCCATATTGCAATATACTTTTTGATCAACTGCAGAGTAGACAGCTCGATGCTCTCAAGGTTAAGATAAACATATCAAATTTTGCAGCAGCTATTCAAAATATTAGAAATAATATAGACACGCTAATTCATGAAGAATGACAATCACAACAAGACCCACAAGAACTAAACTTAAACGACAACACCCAATCAGGTCCAAGTATAAGCAAGAAGAGACGGTTTGTTGAAAAGGAGGACCCCATTTTTAATTTAAGGATATGTAAAGAAATTTGTTATACAATCCTAGTGCAGGAAAATGAACGTTTTAGTTTTACTACCCACCTAACAATTGCAAGTTTATTTGATAGTGAAAAATTTAAAGACTACCGAGGTTGTTTTCCAAACGAGGACGTTAAAACTGTGTGTAGTTTATTTCCAAACGTAAACCGCTTAAAATTTAAAAACGAACTGTCCATACTTTACACCCGAGATGACTTTGTGCAACACAATGGGGTCGTACCGTTATTACAAATGTTTTTTGAGAACAATTTGACAATTACATTTTCGCTAGCCAAAAATCCAGAAGAATGGACTTCAACTATAAGAAATAGTATACAACTGCAGCGGTGCCTAGCAGCTAGCAGTTGGTCTTCAATTTTGTAATATTTAATTTGTTTTAAAATATATTTAATTTTCATTAAGCGGAGAACTTATTTTTTTAAGGTAAAAACGAATCCCGAGATTCCTTTCCAGTGTGTGCCCACGAGCCGCCACTGACAGCTGCATATCGATGTCTAGAGGACGTCTGTTTTTGGACTTAATTTCAATTTTAGTAATATTTTGACGTCTAGAGTGGACGTCCATCTTAGCATGGGCGAAGTTAAGGGGGGGCTTGGGGGGGCTAAGCCCCCCCAAAAACCAAATTAGCCCCCCCAAAAATAATTCGAACATTTATCGCACATCCACCCAAACATTTCAGATTTCAGAACAGAAATTAAAAAATAAAAATAACCGTGCCATTTGATTTATTCTGCAATTTTATATTTAGTTCAGGAGGCAGTGAATTTTTTTCGTATTCATTTTTCCAGTCGGTGTATACGAAAAATAAACTGTTCTCTTAGTGACAAAGAACAAAATTTTTGAGTCTGACACTTATTTTCCCAGTCATAACTATTTTACATTTACTAAACTAGAACATAAAGCTTATAAAAATAGCAGTTTGGATTATCTCAGATAGTGGAAAGTGAGTGTGGCAGAAAATTGAGCATATAAATTGATACAATCATGAACTGTTTATAATAATAAGTCTGGCTGATTTACGAAATTGGCTAATGAGTCTGGTAATATCTTCTAAATGGAAAAAATATAATATTTTTGCTTTTATTTTCCCGGGTTTGAAAATTTGTCACGTGATAGATTAAATTATAATTTTACACCTCCATTTTATAGCCAATCAACTGCTGTTATTTCAAAACACTTTCATGACAACCAGAAAAATTTCCGGAAATTTTTCTTTTGGTGGGTACCCTTAACGAAATTATACTGAAAACTTTTTGACAGTTGAGCAGCTCTTTCATGCATATAAAAAATTTGCCATTTCAGTGGTTAATATTTTATTTAATACACTACAATTATTTTATGTAAAATAATAATTAGGTTTTTCTCGTCAACTAAACGACTTCAAATATGACAAATGGTCATGGTATGGCCACAGCATATAAAACATATGTTTTATATTCTGTGGTATGGCTACCTTTGAAAATTTGATTTTAGTCGTTTTAATGCATGTCTGTCCAGTTTTGAAATTTGGATATTTTGGTGTAAAACTTTCTTACCCAATACCAAAAACGTGCCTAAATTATTATCAGTAAATTTTTGCACACTCACGCATATCTTAAGAACATTATCCATCTACTTAGGATAAATTTCAAAATATTCGTAAGTGAAAATACACGTCTGGCTGACAATTACAATTACGGAGGCCTGCCAGACTCACAAGTAGTGTCGGTTACGGTTTCGGCCAACTTTGGCTTTAAATAATATTTTCGATTACAGTTTCGGTTTCGGCGGAAAACTGGCCGAAACTGCAGCCGAGAGCGAAACTACTTTTAAAAGTTTTCGTATCACAATGTTGTGTCCGGCACAATGGCGACTGTGCCAGGTGCCATTCCTACACAGTGCACGTACACACAAACTTCTCTGCTTTGTTTCAAGTGAACATGTCAATAAATTTATTAATGGCTTCTTTTGATCACATAAATAAACAGGTAAAAAGTAAATGTAGCTAAAATTTATAATACGAGTTAATTAGTCTAAAACAAGGATTACAATGAGATATTGCAAATTTCAATAAGAGATTGCCTTAAAAGATAGTTCTTGTTTCTGTTTCGGCCGAAACTAAGAAAGGAGCCGAAATTTGGTTTCTGTTTCGGTTATAAAATCGTATTTCGGTAGGACCTGACAAGCCAGGTAGTTAAACGAGGAGAGGAATAGTAATCGAACGTGCCGAATTTAGCGCGCCTGACGGTCATTAGACGAGTCTGGCAAGGCTTTCGGGGTGTTCCACATTAGCCAGATTGTATTTTAAGCTGTTATCATAATATACATGTTTCTAGTAGTGAGAACACTTGTAACAGGGATCCTTACTGGACATTGCCAACTAAAATGACACCTTAGTAAACTGAGAGTAGTGCAGATTTTGTGAGGAGAAGGAAAAAATCTTCATTCACATTCTTACTAAATGTGTAGCACTTCAGAATCCAAGGGCACTATACCTAGGAGCATATCAAATAGAAGAGGGAGATTTACCTAACTTGAAGCCACTCCAAATCCTACACTTCCTTGAGAAGATATAATTGGAAGGATCTTTATTCGCGATTCAAGTTAAGTGATACGCCCTCTGGAGGAAATTTGTAGAAGGTCCCTATAAGTAGGACATCGTTCAGTGTTGCCAGAAGTAGCTAAATTTCGCTACGTCGTCGGATTTTAGCTCTTGAAGAAGTGGATAAGACCTTTTATTTAAGAATCAAAATTTGTGTATAGTAATATGTAATCATACTCTATATTCATTTAATACCTATCTATATATTTTTTTTATATTTTGAATAGAATTGGTAATTAAAAATTGACAAATTAAATCTATTACATTTTATTCTCTCAGCGGAAGTTTGAAATCTTATTCTATTATAACCGTATCTAGTAAGAATTTTTCAATTAGATCATTAGTCGAGGTCGCCTAGAGCTTGAATACCTAGAAAGACAATGGACGTGTCGTGAGTTCGATCCCTGCTCTGGTTAAGTGATTTTTAATAAAAAAAATTAATAAATGGTGTATATAGCGGGTTGCGAAAATAAATAAATAAATTATTAATAATATAAAAGTGTGTGGTGAGTTGCGTTTGTGTAAAAAAGTAAGGATGTGGTCTCAATGGAATATTAATCAAGGAATGGACGTTTTTTGAATGTCCAGGTATTGAAAGTCCAAATATAATCCAGAATTGGACGTCCTATGAAAGATTTAACAGCCCTTTCATAAGTATCTTTCTTACAAAATATTGCGATGTCATTAAAAAAAACTCATAATGGCGCTTTAATGTTCATTTTTAATAAATTATTTACATATAGTAAATAATATATGTCCAAAAACAGTGCTTTGCGGAACACCAAAGGTTACAGCTCGTAACACCATCAAGACAAACCTGTGTTGATTTCGATTATTCAAATAACTTTCTGTAAGTCGAAAAATTCTGATACCAAAAGCTTTAGATATGTTGAAGAATGGGTATAATGCTGGTGTGTTAGAATCTATAGCTTCATAGATGGATTTCTTTAAAACATATTGAGCAATAAATTTAAAAAAATAAGTTTACAGTAACTTTAATCCCGATAAGCCCTAATTAAACATGAAATACACGATGATATAATATCAATAGGAGTTATAGATAAAATAATTAGAATTTTTCATGATAATAAGAAAATTTTCCGACTATAGAATATGATAAACTGCTAATTTTTTATTATTATTTGTTGCGGAACAAAATTTCGCAAAAATAAACAGCCGTTGATACCACAGTTCAAATTTAATTATTTAGCTATAATAAGATAAACATAAATCGGAATTATTTTTGGAAATACGTTTACGCATTTTATAGTAGCTTATCCTTGGACCAGTATGTAAATAAAAATTTGTAATCGAATGCATACGTCAATAATTCAATATATTTCTAAATTAATTGTAAACCATGGGTTTTTGACCACTACTGGGTTCAAGTAAAAAACAACAAACATATAAGTCAGAAATATTATTCAAGTGAGATAAACAATTGTGAAAGTTGACAGTCAAGTGCAGTAGTACTCGAGATCTGATTTGATGTAAGTACGCTTGTTCTTGATAATATTAAAAACTTTTTTTTAATTTTCATTAAGAAAAAATTTGTTTATTGTGTTGATAATTTTTTTGTAATTTTTTAAATGATTATACTGGTATTAGGTAGCACAAAAAAATTTAAAAAAATATAGTGTTATAACTTTTTTTTCTAATTTTGACATATAAAGTGACCTTTCTGTAATCGCAGCAAGTCTTAAAATTATTAATTTTACGCAACTAGTTGCATAAATAAAACTAAACCTTTTTTTGGTTTTAAAATCAATAATTTAAATTTTTATTGAAAGTTTATATCAAAAAAGGGCAGGTTGACTTAAAAAATAGAATTTGTTTTAAACTTACAGCCTAGTAAAAATGTTATTTTGATCCTTATTTTCCATTCTAAATCAGCACAAAATAATAAAAACACAATAAATGACAAAATAACCCATTAAATAAATTTAATAAGCCCAATTAACACACTTTTAAAATACATTAATAATATTATGTTCTATTTATCAATAAAATAATGCATATGCAACTAATAATATTAGAAAGTAGTAATATTGGTTGCCTAGATATCAGAAATTTTTTACCAAGATACAATTTTATAAATAGTCTAGTAAAATACCAAAAACTAAAGCAAGAGTCTGAAAGATAACTAAAAAAATGTTAAAAATGTCTACTGAATTATATTCAAAAAATTACATTCATCATTACACTTAATATAGTCTTGATTTTTACTATTCCTGGAGACGTCTCTGTAACAGGCACTGTCTTGACCGATAAACAAATTCTCCCAATTCCCAACAAATAATTACGTCAGAGGCATTATTTACTTATCCACTTTAATTGGTTGGCGCCACAGGCGTAATGCACTTCTTATTGGTCAACGTCACAAGCGCGCTTAGCGACTATCTCTGCCGCGCAGAATTAGAGCATCAAAAACCGGCAAACTCATCACAGCGTTTTGCGGTATTAAAAAAGACAATGCTCTCTCCGTCATCATGTAATATAATTTTTATATATTAACATGGCTCAAGTAACAAATTTCCTAGAGAAATACTGTAAATAATGTAAAAAAGTTTAGTCTTTAGTGGCAGATTAAATAATTTCATTAGTGTTTAAAATAAAGTTTTTAATCAAAAGGTGATCTTTTAATTCAAGTTCTACATCTCCCAGACCTATGGATCGCACAGGTATTTTTAAACTTTATTATTTTTTATTTTTTTTTCTCCTGGGTTCGTCTGACTATGTCTCCGAATAACACTTAAGCCTATTGGCTTATTGTGTTTCACCCCATGTTAGTTCATAGCACCCACTCTGTCACCTTTGTACCTTGTACAAGTTTTTACAGATCCTTCGATGAGTGGGTTCTATACGTTGTTGGATCAACCTGGGGTTGTCCAAAAAGTGTCTGTCTTTTGCGATCTAGAGCTTCGCATTCGCACAGTATGTGTTTGGCCGTTTCTGGATGTGGTTTCTGGTTTCTTGTGACATAGTCGGCACATGAGTTCCCCATTGTATATGCCAATTTCTTATTTCTTCTTCTTATTTTAAAAAACTATAGTTTCATCGATCATTAGCTTAACATTTTCCCTAAGTGACAACTTTACTTCTCCCATTGCCTGTTCAATTGACGGTAGTTAATTGCCAATAATTTGTGACGAATAATGTCCAATTAAATACACCAACAAGTCTTTTTGTAAATAGTGAGATAAGACCTTAGATAAAAGAGACCAGAGATATAACATACACCGGTTTTAAACCTGCGCAAATGTTGCCAATTTCTAAAGAAGGGTTAACGGAGTGGGGGAACTGGGCGGCGACACGCGGCGACCCGAACTCTGTGACAGGGACCTGACTTTGTTTATTAGCATCTTAATGAACTATTAGGTTTATTTAAAAGTTGTTTAATCGAATTTTGTATTATGAAATAAAATTAACGTGATTTTTTAATATCAAACAGATGCCACGACATTTTATGTAAAGAGAAGACCTTTTATAGAATATTTCGTTAGCGTTTATTTACTACGGACTTTTCTGCAAGAGATTACAGTAAAATGTTGAAATAGAATATATTGTTAATAGAGCAAAGATGTTACTCATTGTCTACGAGTATTATAAAAAGAGCATGTGCGCAGGCTAATACTGAAAATCTACCCTTATGAGTTGAACATTATATTTTTTCTACGGCTATTACATATTATTAAAAATTAGTCAAACTGAGAAAAAAGTATATTAAGGCTTCTTTCTTTAAGAATATTAATTATTATAAAGGATGAGTCACATAAAACTCTAGAAATGCATATGTCTGAAACCAGATAACATTTTAAAATTTAAATCTATTAAAAGTCATTTGGTCGCTAGGGATGAGTGATTATCGAAATAAATTATCGATCATTGAAAATAATCGATTATTTTCGATCAATCGATTATTTTCAAACAATATATTTTTTGTTATTTCCTTTAAAATCGACTACTTGATTATCTTTGAAAAATCAAAAATAATCGATTAATTAAAAAACCAATTAACCGATAAATCAGTGTTTACAAAATATAATATAAATAGAATTATCGTTTATTTTAAATAATCGATTATTTTCAAATAAACCATTTTTTTTTCGTCCATGGAAACAGATTATTCGATAATCTTTGAAAAATCGAAAATAATCGATTAATCAAAAATAATCGATTAATTAAAAATTCGATTAACTGATAAATCAATTTAAAAAAAAAACAGAATGATCGATTATTTTAAATAATTGATTATTTTAGATCAATCGATTATTATCAATAATCTATTTTTATTGTATTTCCTTTAAAATCGTTAATTCGATTATCTTTGAAATACCGAAAATAATCGATAATTCCAAAATAATCGCCTAATCGAAAATAATCAATTAATTAAGAAGCCGATTCTATGATAAATCGATTATTACCAATAATCTATTTTATTGTATTTCAAAAATTATCGATTAATTAAAAAGTCGATTAACTGACAAATCGATTTTCAAAAAAACAGAATGATCGATTATTTTAAATAATCGATTATTTTCGATCAATCGATTATTATCAATAATCTATTTTTATTGTATTTCCTTTAAAATCGATAATTCGATTATCTTTAAAATACCAAAAATAATCAATAATTCCAAAATAATCGCCTAATCGAAAATAACCAATTAATTAAGAAGCCGATTCTATGATAAATCGATTTTCCAAAAAATAAAACGAATTATCTATTATTTTCTAATAATCCTTTTTTTCATATTTCCTTTGAAATTGATTATTCGATTATCGAAAATAATTGATTATTAAAAAGCTGATTATCCAATAAATCGATAATTTTAAAAAAATAACCAAAATATCGATTATGTAAAATAACCGATTATATTCAATCGATTATTTTCATATAATATCTTTGAAAAATCGAAAATAATCAAAAAAATTAAAAACCGATTAAAACGATAAATCGATTATTTTGAATAAATCTACTTTTTTGTATTTCTTTTTAAAATCGATTAATACATTATCTTAAAAAAAACGAAAATAATTTATTAAAAAACAGCGGATAAATCGATTTTCATTAAAAATATCAGAATTATCGATAAATCGATTATTTTTGTAACCCCTATCGGTCGCTTTGCTTTTATCTGAGCATTTAGCTCCAAAATTTAGAGATTCGGATTTTTTGATCCAGTTATCTTTCAAATCGCATTCGATTGTATAATAAATAAATATTGCTAAATTTGTGGATTTTTTTTAGTAAACGAAAATTATGTTCGAGTTGTTCAGGGGTTTGTAATGTAACATTTTATTAACGTGACTAAGGGTCGATTCCACCGTTGTGTTAAACGAAGTTTAAAATGACATTTTTACATTAACACTGTCATTTTAATCTCCGTTTAACACAACGGTGGAATCGGACCTAACTCCTGTAACTTTAGTATTTTTTTTTGCTTATACTAGATTACTTTGTTTTAAGACTGAAAATTCAATGTCACTTTCGATTTGACCGCAAATAAGATGAACCTTGAAATTTTAAGTAGGTCATCCTGTATTTCATCTAATATTCTTATAAAAATACCTTATAAAAATAAAATTTAGCTAGCAACTATGATTCTTTACCTCTTATTTATCTACCAAAAAGGGCTAAAAACTACCTTTAGAAAACATTCTTATAAAACTACTTTTTAAATACAAAATTTCGTTAGCAATAATGCCTATTTACTATTTAGTTAAATTAAATGTTCAAAATTTTACCCTTTTGTAAATTTATGTAAGTAATATGAAATCTGATTTCTGATGCTTAATATTTATTGAAACCCCTTAATGCGGATCTGAAGTATTCAGCCCAGAGAATCATGGCGCTTTATGTCAAAACGTTAATAAATATTTACCGCTGAAAAAGAATATATTCATAACAGTAGTACTTGTATTATAAGTACATACAATTTTTCAAGATACATCGTGACATTTTGAACTTGAAATTGAATAACTAGAACACTTTAAATTGCTAAAATACCAACAAATAAATCAAAAAAACAGCTGTCAATGGTGATTAAACTCAGGTGGAGGTGATCGCTGAATGGAAATCGGAGCAATTCGGGTGGCGTCGTGCAACAATGATTTTCAATTGGTGGGTTACTTTGGCTTAAAATAGACAACATGCGCAGTGTACAATGTTACATCTTCGGTCTCTTTAATCTAAGGATAAGACTGACATAAACTGAAATATTTTCAAATTTATACCTATAAACCATGCAAAACCCATTAGGGTAGGCTTTCAGCGCGGCAGGTAGTCGCTGGGGTTCTTGTAATCAAGTCAGTCTTTTAGGAAAATGAAATTTTGTTAGAAATTTTGTTTTATAATGTGGAACAGTTTACCCCGAATCAGATACTCAGGGCCGACTAGAGGGAGGAGGGGTAGCCGGGACTAATTCCCGGAGCCCGAGCTCAAATTGGGGCCCGGCAGCGATGGTGTTTGTTACTTTCAGAACTTCGACAGAAGAGGGGGGTAAGTTCTTAGTTGACGACCTTTGTTTTTTTTGAGAAATTCAAGTAGAGGAGGAGAATATTTTGCTTGTTTGCTCGAGGACCTTTCTTTTTTTTTTTGGAGAAATTTAAGTGGAAGAAGTGAAATTTTTGCTATAAAATTGTCGCGGGGCCTGATCTGGAGAATTGTCTTGGGGCCCGGTCTGGCTCTCGTCGGCCCTGCAGATACTACAAACTTTTTTTTATATGAAAAATGGACCACCTTAATTATAACCTACTTTACAACAACAACAACAACTATACAAGGATTTTAACCTCGAAAATACCTGTTTTTTTATGCGGATTTTATTATCCTTAGTATCTTTTAAATCTGGACGGTTTATCACCATATTTACATTAAATATGTTAAAATATTCAATAGCTATTTTTTAAGAAAGTTACATTAATAAATATTTTATTAAACTGAGGTTGCATGATGCGTCATTTATAAAAGAATTTAAAATATGTCGTTTAAGGCAAACAGACCACGATGTTCAGGTTCAGGAATAAAAATATTTAGTGCATCTACATGTTAACCGATTTTAATCTACAAATCTGACAAATAAGATTGCGAAACAATTCATTATGTGACTATAACAATCTTTTTCTACACCCTCATGGATATTAGCTTTTCTATGCACAGTCTACAAAACGAAAAATTTTTATCACTTCATTTTCTTTCGTTTCCTGAGATTTATTACTTGTCTATCATTTCTTGGAAGTTATTACAAGTCTACTTGCCCAGTAATTATAATTGGAGGGTTTTTTGTAGAAAAGACGGACTCATGTTAAGAAAAAATTTAATCGACTCACTTCAGTACAAAAATGAAGAAGATAATTCAAAATACAAAGAACATGGAAAACCTAAACAAAAGTAAGTTGTTTAAAATTGTCGTTAAAGCAAAGAAAAAAATTAGAGATTGTTAGAAGGGTAGAAATTTGCGAATAACATTTCTTAAACATTAAAAAACGGTAAATATAATATAGAGGTAAAAAAATAGATGTTATTTTTTATGTAATAGTTTTAACTTGTTCAAAAAAGTATTGTAGTTAATGTAATGAGTTTACTAATTGGGTATTTTTTTATTTAGATCTGATTTACCAACAAAACAATTCCAAAAAAGAAGATCACTCCTGGTAGAACTAATCGAGGATAATGTTCATGTTAATGGCGTATATAACATTATCATTTCTTTGAGTTTCTTTATAATGATCTCATTAAATTACATAGAATATATACAATTTGGAAGGTAGGATCATTTATATAAAAAAATTAATTAGTACACATGTGGCATCGTTATTTCTATACCACTTATCTGATAATATACAACAAATAGATTTTAAATTATTTTTCTACTAGCGTGCTGCGGAAAAGTCCACTTTTCCGCCCTCATTTTAGTGTTGAAAGAGTCACTTTTCCGCACTAGTTCGGAAAAAACTTTTTCCGCACTGGTAAATTTGTTATGTTTTTGGGGAGTATCCTGACATTTGAATATTTAAAATATATATCTGTATGGTTGTAGTTTACAAAATGACTGAAAAATTAAGAAATTTATTAGAGTTCTGCTATAATTTTTAATAAAAAGAAACGTTTCAATAATTTTTTAATTGCCCTTGTATAAGCCTCATCAAATGAATGTCAAATAAATAATAAACATCTGACAAACATTTGTCACTTTGAATCACCGTAGCAACAAAGAAAAAATAAACCTGTCAGCCAAAACACTGCCTTGTCAAAACCAATTTTACCGTCGCATCTTTTTCTAGAAGATAATTTTTCATGGATTCTTGCAAACTTGGATCTACTACCATCAAAATCTCGTTATAGGTATGAAAAGAATGAAAACTGGTGCCAGAATAAGGGAATTAAAACTTTTAAAGAAGACATTTTTTTGGCTTATTTCGCTGAAATTTCCAAAACATGCAAGTCAAATACTCTTTGGTCCAGGTACTAAATGTTAAAAAGTGTAATTAAACTTAAAAAAGACGTCGATTTAAGCAAGTTTTTCAAGGTCACGGCATATATAAAAAAACAAAACATTGGATTCCGACCAAAAAAGCCAAAAAATTTTCTCAAAAGAAGCGCCTGACAAAATTTATCTTCATATAAAAGACGCTACGATTTTTGGTTTGGCGAGCGCATGTAGGCGAGAAGAATTAACAAAGATGTCTTTAGATCATATTGATGACAATGGAAGTATTTTATTGATAAATATCCCAGACAAAAAACCACTCTTTCAAAAGTTTTGCAATTTCTGAGGAAGCTGAAAATGGAAAATTGCTCAATTTGTTCAGAAAGTATGTGAGTTTAAGAAAGCCTGAAACACCACATAAGCGATTTTTCGTGAAATATAAGAAAGGAACTTGCACTGTACAATGTATCGGAATAAAATCCTTCGGAAAATGCCATCAGAGATTGCAATTTATCTGAAGCTTCCAAATCCTGAATTATATACGTGCCACAGTTTCAGACGTTCCGCCACTACAATGCTTGCAGATTCCGGAGAAGGAATAACAAATATTAAACGCCTCGGAGGTTGGAAATCTGCTAGCCTCGGAGGTTGGAAATCTGCTAGCCTCGCAGAAGGTTAAGTAGGAAGCTCACCAAGTTTCCAAAAGGGCCTATCGAATAAAATATTAAACTTCAATGACGCTGTCGCTGGCTCTTCCATTATTCAGCAGCTGTCACCAGTAAAGCCTTTCAAAATGACCTCTTTCACCCAAGTTCCCATCGCCACGGTTGCAATAATTAGTGCTGACAAAGCAGTGGAAAACCGAAATCTGACTTCATTGGAAAACATTTTAGCCTCTGCAATTAATTTGCAGAAGGCTACAAATTGCACGTTCAATGTTAATATTAAGAATAATTAATTTGTTGATATGAATTTAATAATAAATGTTCCTTTATGTTTACTTTTGGGTTTTTTACGTACAAAAATAGTGTACCGAACACGTGTGTAAAGTGACTTTATTTTGTAATAAGTTTAAAATGATATTAATTTAGTACATACTGCTACTATAATTCTCAGGGGTCTATTCTGTAAAATTTTATTAAATTTTTACTGTACCCTTTATTTTATAAATTTCGTTTAAATTTTAATATCTGATTTTTGTTTTGTAGCAAAATACACGAGGTCACAGTAGGCAATTATTTTGCTTTCTTCCCTTTATAAGTTGTTATTCTTATAGGAAATTATCCCTAAATTTTTTAAAACTGCTCAGCTTTTGTATTTAGTTTCAAATAACAAATATTTTATTTCAGATTATCTCCAGCTTTGGATCTGATTTATGAAAAATTTGGAAAACTCCATATTGTTTTTATTGTATGGTTAGGAAATAACCTTTTTACGTTTCTATGTTACTATTGTTTTATACTATGGGCGGCAATTAGACAAAAAGGTATAGTATAATCATATAGTGTATATAAAAATGTTTTTTCGATACAAATCATTATCATAATAGAGTTGTTATTATACTCATTTACTCTTAAAACATCTACTGCGACATCATTGTGACTGTTTATCTATTCTTGAATCTGAGGGAATAGAAATTTTGAGGGAAGAATGAGATAAAAATACAAATTTTATGCGTGACAGATAAAGAGGAAATACCGGTTTTCTACTCCCTCGAATTCAAGAATACCTACCCAGGTATATTCCTAATAAAAATATTAATTTTTTTCCAGTTGACCATAAAAACATTACTGATAAATTAGGTGTAATACTTTTGGCAAGCTACTATGGATTTACGTTTTACATCATACCATTTCTCATAAATAAATATAATTTACCATTTGCTTCCTCTGCAATACTTTTGGGTGATTCGGTGAGTTTATTAATATATAATAAATATACTAACATAATTTCTTAGTTTGTTTTCAATGAATTAATTTTTTATAGATACGATTCTTAATAAAAGTCCACGCTTTTGTTAGAGGCAATGCACCGAAAGTTCTAACATCCAGATCGGAAAAAGAAAAAATAAAGTTGCCAACATTTGGTCAATTTGTGGATTTTGTGTACATTCCTGCTACTATTTATAAGGATGAATATCCCAGGTAAGATACTATAATGATAATTTAAAACAAATATAATTGAAACGTTAACACTAGAAAATGCAAAGGAATTAAAAGAAATTTTTGATGTAATTAACAATATTGACAACTTTAAAATATAGATGAATATAAAATATTCCTAGAGGACCTAGATACGAATATAGACTATATTATAGTAACAGAAACTTGGAATCTATCTCAACCAGAACTCTGTAGTATAGCAGGCTATGATTTTTTATACAATAATAGTATATTATTCAATAAGTGTATAATGTTGACCATATTACACAAGAATTGTTTAGAACACGAGCGAGCGAGTGTTGTAAATATTCGATGCTTTTTATGGATATTCCGTAATAATTGTAATGAATAAATCAATAATATTATAAAATTTTCTTAGATTTACAATGTTTCACTGATTTGCATTGTTTTAAGTAGAAGAGTATACGGTGCTTTTTAAAACTCATACCTCTACATTTCTGTGAAAGCTTTTGAAATAAGAATAACTTATTTTTTTTTTGTAATTTTGCTAGTAGTTTTTTTTTAAATTTAGGTGTTGGATTTAATAAAACAATGTGCTTTACGTTTGTGTAGCTTTTGGTACCTAGATATAGTACTTACAATCGGTTAAAAAATATAAAAACGCCCTCCTATAAAGTATCAGTATCAATTAAACTGTATATCTGTTTTAAAACTATGCATCCTGCAAAAACTTGACAGTTTCTCAAATTCTTCTTTTCCATTATCCATAATCTATAAAGAAATCAAAATATTGGAGAATCTTCACATATTTTGTTTCTTTTTCTTTTTAGAACCGACAATGTTAGATGGAGTTTTGCATTCTACAGATTTATGGAAATAATTTGGACCATTGTTTGTCAAGCGCATATATATATTCATATTATATTACCAATATATAAAGACTTGACCTGTATTAACCCAATAACTTTTGGAGAGTTGTTTATTCTGTTACTAAAAACATGCATACCTGCTGTTGTACTGTTGTGGCTGCTGTTCTTCTCCTTATTACATTCATCTCAAAATACAGTGGGAGAAATGTTGAAATTTGGAGATAGAATGTTCTATTTGGATTGGTGGAATAGTCTGGACGTACAGCAGTTTTACAAAAAGTGGAATTGTGTAAGTAGAAACTATTTAAGTTACCTCAAGACCTTTCTTTTCACTTTGTATCCTCCTCATAATTAGTGAAAATCTCCACCTTCCTTCTATATTTTCTTCCTCTGTAGAAACGTTATTTAAAATAAAAGTCAAATTCTACCTTCCTTTTAACCCTTTTACACATTATTTTATTCATGTATGGGTGGGGTTTTCCGGTTATTCCTTACGTGTAAGTCAAATGGCACCATCAGTCATCTTTAAGTCGCCCCGAAGCGTCACGGCAAATAATAATAATAATAATAATAATAATAACCGTCCCTTTCCCCGGACAAGCTCAGCTTTTGGGGTTAAAATTCACTTGTAAAGGGGTGACTTAAGGAGAGTATGATTATTATTCTCACCTTGTGGAACATTCAAATAATGTTGACGATATTGATACATGCTAAATATCTTTTTTCCAGGTCATTGGTGACTGGCTGTATACATACGTCAACAAAGACTTAGCCGAAGTCGTTTTTCCTGGAAGAAGAAACCTCGCAAAATTACTGACAATTCTAATATCCGCTATAATTCATGAATGGATTATCACAGCAGCTTTGGGCTTCTATTGCCCTGTGATATTTGTTATAATGATTGCAACTATATTATTTTTAACAGATATATTTAGAGCGAAAAGTTATACTAAAAATATACGCGTTTTTATATGGATGATATATCCCATCGGACCAGGTCTGATAGCGACATCAATGTTTGTGGAATATTTTGCTAGACAACGTTTACCGATGAAGGCAAATGAATCGTTTGTTTTTTGGAATCACTGTATTGCTTAAATTTGTTATTGAAGAAGTTTACAGCAAAGAACAGCAAATGGCACTATTGTGATAGATACTGTTAATCAATTAAAATGGACGTTCTTCGTCTAAAAACCTAAAAGCAGTGTTAGGAGAAGACAATTTAGTTAGTTTTGTAATAACTTTATAATAAAATATAAAATGTCTATTTTCGTTTTTCTACATCAACTATTATTATGTGTAAAAAAATTCGCAACGTTCCTGGGGCTCCGACACACCCAGTACATTACGCGAAAGGCCTGGTCGCTGAGAAGATCACTCCTTACATCCGCTCGGTCAGTGATCTGCATCTTCACCACTAGTCTTGAGGAGTCTCGGCAAGTCGGTATTTTTCGTAACTCCGTGAGCATAGTGTCCTTGATTCCCCCTAAAACACCCACAAGTAGGACTACCATTCGTACATTATATTCTGGATACAGTCTTTGCAACTCGCCAATCAGTAGAATGTATTTGGCACGCTTTTCTCTCTCCTTAATAAGAATGTTGCTTTCAGCTGGTGCAGAAAACTCAAACAGCTCCAAATCGGGCTTGTTAGCTTATAGTCTGGTTGTTATATAGGAAAATCGTAATTCGAATAAATAAGACAACTGTTATTTTCCACTACCGCTTCAATTTCGTCTGGAGCGTATGGCAGAACTGGGATCTTATCTATAAAGTAATGATGTCTCAGATGATAGTAGAGAACTTGCAATGCGGCGTTAATCTATCATGCAACCTCTTCAGACTCAGAAGACCTCTGCCACCTTGATGACGTGGAAGGTAAATGCTTGAGGCCGATGAGCGTGGGTGGATGCTTTTGTTCATATGCATCATCTTGCGTGAGCTTACATATCTCTGGGATTTGGTGTGTTGTCTGGGATGACGATTAAAGTTATCGAAATCGATGGCTTTATACGATGTAGAACGATCTTTGTAAGAGGGGTCCTTTATATTGAACTGTATATGACTTGTGATGATTGTATGATCTGATATGCCTAATGGAGATTGAATAACAGCGTCTGTTAATAAATTAAGACAACACATGTCCAAGAACACGCGAATTGAGTTAAATCTGACAATTGATAAATGTTGATTTTATAACAAATTAACCCTGAGACAGAAATATTCACTATCAAATGTAGAGCACTTCAAAGTCTAATGAGACTAGTAGAAAGTTTTCATGTTTTCCAGAAAGAAAGCTGATTTGGGACATCTTTTGTAAAAAGGTCTTCAATTGTTCATTGTTTACAAATTACAAATCTATCTTGAAAGTAATATTATTGACTCTCGTATTGGATCTGTTATGAGTCATTGTAGATTGGAATTTTTTCGAATTTCACTTGGAAAGAGAGTAACTGGCCTAAAAATATCTCTAAAATTGAAATCAACAATATTGATATTTTCTTCTGAAGATAGGTAAGTTTTTCAATAAGGACTGAGTCTTCAGCTAAATAATTATATATAGACATTTAAACTTACGGATGAATAAAATAGATATGCTATATTAATAATTTAATAATATTTATAATAATTAACAAAGTGAAACAATGCGTGTTTTGGTGTTTATAAAATAAAATACTTATTATATTAGTAAAAAAATTACTGAGACTACAAAAAATACATAATAATAGCATCAAGTGTTTCAATCAGTATCTAAGCGTGTTTTATTACTTTCCAAATGGATAATCTGGGTGTTCATCAATTCTAAAACAAAAATATTCAAATTATTAACAGATTGACAGATTTTTTTAATAAAAACTTACTTGGGAAAAATCAACCAATCGACAATTCTAGCTGGTTCGCCAACATCGAGACCCTCCATCTTAGCAATCTCAGCATCATCCAAAGAAAATGAGAATAGATCAAAATTCTCCTTTAACCTTGCAGGTGACACACTCTTCGGAATGACTACAATATTCTTCTGCACTAAGAATCTCAAAGCGATTTGAGCGTTACTTTTTCCGTGCTTTTTAGCGATCTCTGATATCACTGGATTTGTCAGAATGTTCATCAAGTCTTTCCTTTCTCTAAAAATTACAATAATGAAATTTATTTTTGTGTTGAACTGGTATAGCTACAAAAATCTTTAAATTGATTTAACCGAGATGATGTGCGGCGTTCAAACTGGTTGCAACGGCCTGGATAGAAAGCAAGATGACCGCTTGTAGAGATCATCATTGTTTTTTACGTGGCAGTCATGATTTGTTTTGTATTTTTGAACAATACAGAGTTATTTCAAAGATCAGATTTGTGTTAGTCACTTTTATAGAATCATATAAGTATAATCAACGGTTTTCTTGTCATATTTCCTTGTTTTAGCTTGTTGGTAAAAATATTGTTTCAAAAACATGCTTACTACTTGTTATGTAGTAAGGAGAGGGGCCTGTATGAAGCCTTGTGGTATTCCGGTAAGTGGGGTACGTAGATCTGACAGGTTGTTGTCTAATCTGACTGTGATAATTCTATCAGTGGGGTATGAGTGTATGAATTTGGATATATTGAGGGGAACCTATTTTCATAAGTTTTTTGAATAGTCCAGCTTGGTTAAAGGCTTGCTAAATATTTAGAAGAGATTAAGAGTTTACTAATGTGACTGTGGTTATGTTTCGCTCTTCACAAAAGTCCCAGTTTCTTTTCTTGAGCGGAACTTTAAGGGGTTTACCTAGTACTCAAATGAGGGAGATAGGACGGTACGAGTCTAGGGATTTGGGATCTTTCCCATGTTTTGGAATCAAAATGGTGTTGGCGGATTTCCAAGCAAGTAGAAAGTAAGAAAAAGAGAGAGGCAGGTGTTCGAGAGTAGCGTAAAAATAAGAAACAGTTTCAGAAAAATGTTTTAGCGTTGTTTTGTGTATATAATCTGGCCTAGACGCCATGTTTTTGCCTGATTGACAGGCGTATTGGATGTTTTGAATGGAGAATGGGGTAGTGAAAGGGGTTTTCAACATCCAATGGTGGGATTGGAGCAGCAAGTGTCTGATAGGCATTGAGTCGGGTCTCGTGTTAAAAACGGTTGTCAAAGTAGGGGTCATCGGGGGTTCTAAATATATTTCCAAGATGTTTCTCGTGTTCCAAGACTTTTTTGTCGGAAGTTGTGTGTATTTTACCATCGATTTGATTGTGAAGACGAGGTTTGGATGGATTTTTCAGCAGTAATGATTCGGAATTTTTCCAAAAACTCTATGATCTAAATTAAAGATGGTATTGAGCCATCGTAGATGTTAGTGTAAGTTTATTAGGAGCCTGCTCAAGGCGTTGAGCTGGTTCCATTCGGTGTTGATGACAGGGTCGTGGCTACGGAAATAAAATAACTATACAATCGGTTTTTTGGAGAATGAGATTTAGGATGAATTTTGGGAGAACTATTTTGTGAAATGTTGATGGATATAATTGAGCCTGAAACTTATACGGCATGAGAAAATGAGCAGGAGAAGCTCTGGGATGTCTGCAGAGATATTTCTCTCAAATAGTGGCCATATCTGCCTTTCTGAGTGTTCGGAAGGTGTATATCGTAGAACTTGGTTGAGCAAGATAAAAAAAGAGATCTATGTAGGGGATCTATGGGAGAAACAGTTGATAAAATAGCATCCAATATTGTTACACAAACATTAATGCTAAGCTTTCTGGATAAACTAATAAATGTTCCAAAACAAGCTAATATTTTCATATTAAATCCAATACTATATTAAGAAAATCAATGTCAAAAATTTAAAGAAACAATTGTACATTTTTAGTCCTTTAGATTACCTATATTTTTTGATATTAAATTTGGTACTACTGCACATTTGAAAAAAGAGTACATTAAGCCGAATCCGTTATATTAATTAATGTCGTTCTTATTAAACTCTTAGGTCCAATCTTTTTACCTCTGAGTAAAGTTTAAAGTAACTACTTGCTGATTAAACTATAGGGCTATTGTTCGTTAATCTGTCAAGTAAACCTACATGTTACTTTACTCAGAGGTGAATAGATCGGCCCTTAATCATTTATATTAGTTCATTGTGTTATATATTTCAAGTAAATCATTTAATTATCAGCCTTAACCAAAGGCATCTTGATAGAGAACATAAAATTGGCTACAGCCCAAAAAATTCTAAAACAATATCATGTTGCAACTTACTCGATTCCAAGTCGTTTGAGGAATTTATTATAACCTGGATTAGCTATCGGCGAATAAGCTACCACTACAATATCGTGCGACTGACAAAATTTCACCAATTCTGGTTGCTGCAAGAATACATGAAGTTCAATTTGATTGCAAGCTGGTTTGATCCTGGCGAATTTCAGAAGATTGTCGATTTGTTTGATGTTGAAATTTGATACGCCAATGGTTTTTGCCCGACCTTGGTCTACTTGCTTTTCCATGCTCTGAAATAATATGATAAGAGAGAATATGTTTACCTATTATCTTATATAAATATATAAAACAATAAAAGTTTTAAAATAAAATCCAAACTCAGCCAGTTGAAATTAACACATTTATGTACATATACAGTGTGGTTTAACGAAAAATATCCAGCTCCCTTTTATTGGTTCCCTCAGATTTAAAGAAAAAATGCTCAAGTGTCCCCAAAGAAAATAGTCCAGAGGCGATAAACCCGGTGACCTTGCAGGCCATTCAATTGGGCCTCATCTTCCAATCCACTGTCCAGGGTACCGATTATTTAAAAATTCTCTTACAGCACCAACACAGTGCAAAGGTGCTCCATCTTGCTGGAAATGAAACTGATCAACATCATGATTTGGGTAATTTTCTAATATTTCTGTTATAAGAGGGTCAATTTCATCTTCAAGCATGCTTGGGTACTCTTCACCAGTTAAATTTCCAGGAATGAAAAGTGGTCCTACACTAATATGCTACACCAGACATTTATTTTTTCAGGATGTTGGGTATGATACTCAGGGAATAAATGTGGGTTACTGTCATCCCAGTAACGGCAATTATGCTTATTGAAAGCTCAGTTCAAATGAAATTTACACTCATCGGAAAAACAAATATTAAATAATAAGTCAGGATCTGCAATTAAACACTGGCTCATTTCTTCACAAAACTGCAGCCTTCAATCAGGATTATCCTCGTTCAGCTCTTGTATTAATCTAGTTTTGTACGGATGAAATTTCTTTTAAAATCGTTATAATAGATGAACGAGAGACACCCGAGACTTCAGCTGGTTGACGAGTACTTTGCGTATGATCCAATTCAACATGTCCCAAAACAGCGACTTCCACAGCTTCATTTCTGACGACTCGCTGCATCTGAATTTTCTTATTGCAGACAGATACAGTATCGGAAAACTATTGGACTATTTTGGTAACATACGAATGATTCACATTTTTATTGGGATTATTGTTATTAAAAAACCGAGCAGTAAGCCTAGCGCAACTATTATTTTGAAAATAAAGTTTCACACTTTCAATCCGTTCTGGAATGGAATAAACTATTTTTTTACAAGTATTAAAAGTAATTTTAAAAAACCGACTTCAAAATCGTGCAGATGCCGTCACCACATCTTAACCAAATTTATATGGGACAACCCCTGAGGTACCCCCTTACTAACAAAAAAAGAATAATAGAAAACGCTCAAGGTAGTAAAGAATTATCGCTAAAAATACATTAAAAATGAAGGGTTTGAGGATTTTTCTCATGGACCCAATTATTAGATTTTGAACAAATTTATATGAGACCACCCCTGAGGTACCCCCAAGAATAACCGCTAAGCAAACATTAAAAATGAAGATTTTGAGGATTTTCTAATGGATCCAAAGTACATTCTTTCTAACAAAAAAAGAATTATTGAACTCGGACACAGTGTTAAAGAATTATCGCGGCACATACATAAAAAAAATATTAGGATGAATTGAGAAACAACTTCCTTGTTTTTTGAAGTCGGTTAAAAATTAAAATAATTTTATAAAGTATCAAAATTGTAAAGAAACCACAATGGACATTTGCCTAAATTGTTTTCTTATTTTATTTCTTTACTACTTGTTTTTATTTTAACAAAAAAACGCAAACGAGAAATAGAAATTTCGTTAGTAGATCTAGTTTTTATTGGAATTCCAGTCGTGTTTTTATTAAAATATGTAACAGCCTACCACTACGACAACCCGATATACACATGTGTATATAAAGTTGCTTACCCTTGGACACAAATCCTAATTCCTCCCCGATCGCGATCGAAAATCGAAAGACAGATGACAGTGTACAGTTTTTGCCGCGGTTCAAGCAATGGTTCAAGTCGATTCAAGTCGATGTTTGCAAAAAAGAACAATATTTTGTGTTTTTGCCATTTATATTCAATGATTTAACTTCTTTTCTTTGTCAAATGTGATTTTCTTTGTTAGTTAATTTTGGTAAATGTGTAATAAACTAATGGTTTTAATACTTTCCAAAAAAAGGGCTTTTCGAACCTACGAAATACATAGCATTCAAGACCTATCTTGCTATAAATGGTGTCCCGTGTGACCTTTTGCTTTGGATCGTGAAAAATCTCGTTAAAAACTGTTGCGTTAGTGAATCGCGTAAACAATTTGTAAAATCAACATTTCTTTCGCGTCTTTTAGTTTGATTTTACCAGTTTTTCGTTGTTTAAACCGACGCCGACTTTCGGACACCGTTTCAGTAGTCAGATCCTTTCGTTACTCAATTTACGTGGACACCTTTTTATTTTTCTATGTGGACACCGTTTTCTAGTTCCTTTCGACTCGTATTATCTCGCGTAAGTGCTATTTTTTTTTTCGCAAACGTGAACAATTATTAGAATCATGCCTAAGGCCGAAGCAATTCAACAGGTGTTAATGACGCCCGAGATGCTTCAAGATTTGATTGCAAATATACATGGTACAAATCAAAATCAAGATCAACAAATAAATGTAAGTAACTGTTCTAATTTTTCTGCATGTACATATCGTTTCTCGGGATGTACACATGAAGATGTTGACGCCAACGTTGCCAACTTGTATTGGAAGGTGTTATAGTACGGGCGCTTAAACTATTATAGTACATTGGCAAAAAATATAGTACAATAAATAAGAAACAAGAAATATATTTAAATATTTAGTAACAATTAACAGAAAACTCAGAATTTATAAAATTTTTAGCAGTGTCTATACTATAAAAACGTAATAATAATTTTATGAAGAATCTATATCAGCCGATATGTTAGAATCTTAAGGTGCGTTTAGTCAGCCTGATTTAGTTTTAAGCATTAACATAGACATTAACATAAAAGTTAATTTCAATACATTTCAGTGTACCTGTTTATACAGAATAACATAAGCATAAACATTAACATAAATTTAGTGAAGATAAATAAAATCCAACTTAATGCTTAAATTAATGTCGAAAATACAATTGCGCATGTACGTTCAAAAAGTGAGGTTAAGCTATTTTCCTAACTTTAAACTTGTGAACTTCTAAACTCTTTTTCTGCACTTTTATTAATAGTAATTGTGAGATAGTTAGCAGATCAATTTCAGAAGCAGCTCCCATACGCCTTTTTTCCATTTTGTATGATTCGTCAAATCTTATGTTAATGCTTAAATTTTCTGTATAAACGGTTTTGTTTTAAAATCCTTAAATTAATGTTTATGTTAATGTCTATGTTAGTGCTTAAAACAAAATCAGGCTGACTAAACGCACCTTTAGAATTTATTTTTCTCAACGTGTCCATAACCTAAACTGGTTGCAGCCTATAGATACATTTGTTTTAAAGGGTCAAATGTTATATCTACATTCTTCTCTTTTACACATTGAAATGCTAGTAAGTTACTGTTAATAATCCTTGTAATTAATTTGTTGGAGTTCTCTTATTCAGGTTATTATTCAAGGACATCATGGCTACTCATTCCTTGACTCAGGTGCCCAAACAAGCATTGCAGGTGCTACATTGTGAGACATTTTTCTGAAAGATAAAACTGAGGGAACCAAGAAAAGTGGGGTGGATACTTTTTATTTAACCACGCTATACATATAATTAAATGTATTATTATTATTATTGCTATATAACCTGCCATATTTTTACAATCTTACTACACTAGTAATATTTGCAGTTACAAATGAAAAATATTGTATTCCAGAAACAGGTTTTGAACTTTTTGCGTTTACATATCATTTGTAATTATTATTAATTAATGAATATTATAGTATATTATTTCTCATGTGTATAACACTTTTTAGAAGACACTGTGTAATATCGTTAACAACAATGTCTGAGCACGTCGCAATCCCTTACACAATGTGTATCAAAACCTTTTTAACACATGAGAAAGAATTTTATTTTACAAAAAAATATTCTTGCTAAAAAGTTTTGTATCATTTAGAAATTCATAATCAACATATTTTGTAAAATATTGATGATATTCAGAAAAAAATAGAAATACCTAGAGGCTCTTTTTTTGAAGGTTGTTGAATATTTAAAATCAAGACAAAAGTAATAATACTCGACTATGAATTCCAAGTGAATTTTAAAAATTTAATGATTTATTATGGATTTCCAGGTGATGCAGAATATTTTATCGAATATATAGTTTTTTGTGAAATATAAGCTAATAATTTTTTTCATGTGTACAATAAGTACTTTCTGAAACACATTGTATAATAGATTACGACGTGCTCTTCGAGCACGTCGTCAACAACAATGTGTGAGGTGCTAATAAATTGCTATAAATAACAAAAAAACAGCAAGATTCTCTATTTGGTTCTATTGAAAATTATTTACTTTATTCTCTACTTTAGAAGTTTTTAACGTTTTTAACATAATTAAAAGTAAAAATTTATTTATGTAAAACTTTTAAAAAAGAAATACTTTACCGCCCATAGTCCTTTATGATCATGTGGTTCAAACTCCACGACATTCTCAGTCTCAACCATCCCGATCGGACAATGAATTAGATAGAGATCGACATAGTCCAAACCAAGGTTGTCCAAAGACATCTTTATATATTTTTCCACTCTGTCGCGATGAATTCCCCTGATCGGTAGCTTGGTAGTTACGAATAATTCTTCTCTGTTCAATTTTACCAGAATTTATCCATTCGTTTAGGACTTTACCGACAGTACGTTCGTTTTCGTACGCAAAGGCTGTATCGATGTGTCGGTAACCTAATTCTAAGGCTGCGTTTAAGGCTGTTACTATTTCAGCGTCGTCTCTTGCCTAAAAAACACAAAAGGATCTGTAAATAATGGAGAAAATTATGACATTTCTATGGATTGCAATAAAAATTGTATTTTTTTTGTAAAGAAGTAACAAAAAAGTTCGGAAATGAAGAAAATTTCTCAACATTTAAAAACTGGCTATATATTATTTAATCAGTGGCGGTTTGCCCGTAAGGGCACTTGGTAACGTGTCCTAGTATAATAAACCAAAAAAAAAAAAATAACTTACGTATTTTATATTTTCCTCAGTGCCTATTATTATTTTATTTAATATTCTGCGCAAACCGCGTTGACACGACAGTGGACGACCGGGCGTTGCGCGACTTTCCGAGAATTCCGAAATTAAGTGGAAAATGGGCACAGTAAATGTGGTCCTCTGTTGTTTTCTCTCTCATTATGATGCGAAAAACAAGGACAACGACAATATCGCTTAGCTAGAGATGAACACATGCGATTGATTATACGTTACAAGCGGGGCGCTGTCCTCATCGTGACGTATTGTACCCATGGCACAGATTACCTAGACCAGATCTTTACCGGCTCCCTCACAAAAGCGATGCCGGTTTCGGCTTAAGGTGCGCGTTTGTTGGACCATGATAATAATTTATTTATTGTGATTACGAAAAAACGTTAGTTGGACCATTGGAATAGTTAAGAAATAAAACTACAAAGAAAAATAACTTTTTTTTATAAAGCAGTAAAAAATATGATGAAAAAAAATCAATAATATTTATAAATGGAACAAAATTTTTCTTTTTCGAGGATTTCAAATCACTGTTTGCATATTTAAGAGTATAAAAAATTCTGAGTCTTATAAATAATTTAATGGTGTACATTTTCGCAAATTGTTGGCAAGGATCACTAAATTCTATTTTGCTTATCTCAAAAAGGTATGCGTTGGAAATTCTAGGCTTAGTTGACAAACTATCAAATAGAGATATAAATATTTTTTCTAATTTGAAAATATAAAAGATAAATTTTTCGCTGGATTTTAAATTGCCAAAAACCTTTTCTTCACAGTCGTGTGCTTTAAAATGCTCCTACACGATGGAATTTTACATCGAAGTGTGTCAATACTATTTATGTTTATAAAGAGGATTTGATTAAATGTCTCTAAGAAATTATGAACACAGAATTCGATAAAAAAAACTATTAATCAGACTAAGGGGTTGATAAATTTTGAAAGACAGATTTTAGTTTCTGGTTATTTTTCTTCAGCAAAATAATGCCAAATTGCGATATACTTTTTGATATAGATATTGATATAGACACGCTAATTTATGAAGAATGGCAATCACAACAAGACCCACAAGAACTAAACTTAAACGACAACACCCAATCAGGTCCAAGTACAAGCAAGAAGAGACGGTTTGTTGAAAAGGAGGACCCCATTCCTAATTTAAGGATATGTATGGAAATTTGTGATACAAGAGTAGTGCAGGTAAATGAACGTTTTAGTTTTACTACCCACCTAACAATTTCAAGTTTATTTGATAGTGAAAAATTTAAAGACTACCGAGGTTGTTTTCCAAATGAGGACTTTAAAACTGTGTGTAGTTTATTTTCAAACGTAAACAGCTTAAAATTAAAAAACGAACTGTCCATACTTTACACCCGAGATGACTTTGTACAACACAATGGGGCCGTACCGTTATTACAAATGTTTTTTGAGAACAATTTGACAATTACATTTTCGGAATCTGTGGAGCTGCTAACTATCCTGTGTACAATTCCCATGACCACAGTGGAGAGTGAAAGATGTTTTTCGACACTAAAACGTATTAAAACATTTTTTAGGAACATTATGTGCCAAGATAGATTGTGCGCATTAGCCATGTTATCCATCGAAAAAAAAAAACTTATTCGGTCCATTCCAAATTTTAATAATCTGGTCATCGATCACTTCGCTAGCCAAAAATCCAGAATAATGGACTTCAACTATAAGAAATAGTATACAACTGCAGCGGTACCTAGCAGTTAGTCTTTAATTTTGTAATATTTAATTTGTTTTGAAATATATTTAATTTTCATTAAGCGGAAGGGAAAAACGAATCCCGGGATTCCTTTCCAGTGTGTGCCCCACTGCCGCTAGTGCCCACGAGCCGCCACTGTATTTAATAACAAAGACATACTACTGATGAGTGTTATATTCTTTTATTTTTTTAATATATTCCTATTTTTAAAAATTGAAAATTGAATTTATTAAAAACTTTTTGATACTTTTAGTAACATATTAAAGAAATATTACGTATACATCTGTACCCATTCTAATTTTACTTACTTCCCATGTTCCCAGTCCAACAGAAGGCATGGCAAGTCCTCCACAGTTTTGCGATCTTGCCATATTGACGTAATTATCTTCAAATTAGTAATTGATCTAAAAATAATTTTTAATAATTTAATAATATTGATTGTCAACTATAAAAGCAGTTGAGATATTTATGTCAAAGAAACATTATTTTGTTGACTTTTGACAAATGTGATTTTTTCTATAAACCATGATACACATACTAAGTTTCGATTCAAATTTCGTCCAAACCGCGCATGACGTAATGCGGGACGAACTTTCAAGTCATTTTGACACTTTTCGATTGAATAGTGTAAAATAATTTTGGGAGTAGTAACTATATTTTCCTATATATAACAGGGAAGAACTAAATTCATATTTAAAATGCGGGTCTGCGCGGTGAAGATATTTCCGAATGCCACAAAATATGTGTAAATTCTTATCGAAGAAAGGACAAACTTAATTGAAGTTGCCCTATCCACTTTGAGGAAAATAGTTGTGAGATTCCTCTTAAACATATACCCAAGAAAAGAAAACTGAATTTCACCAGGTGCACGGGCCTCATTAAGCAAAGAAAATAAATCAGTATTTTAAAATTGTAGCAGATAAAACAGTAGTTTCCTGTCCCAATACAACGGTCTTTTTGAAGTAATGCCATTCATGAGCAGGACACGAACATATATAAGAATAAGATAAATGAACAGGAAAATTGGTTTTGAGTATTTTTAAAGTAAACTTGACAAAAAGTGTTTAAATTTACCAAATAAAAAGTACTTAATGTGTTTGTGTACTTACTTTTTGTAAATAAATATTTTGTTTCTGCACACTTATTTTTATTTCACATAATAAGAAAAGAGATTGCAAGAGAACTACTACGCCCAGAAAGTACAAATTTGAGTAAAACTTGTATTTTTAGTATATCTTTTACTTATCTTGTGGCCATGTTATGGATTTTGTCACAAAATACCTATAATTTATGAGAAAAATTTTTATTAGTATTATTTACCTTAAACCTTCATATTTGTAAACGAATATATTACAAAATAACCAATAAAGCTTAAGTAACTGCATAAAATCTAAAATTGGCAAAATATCGAATTTTAAACACTATCTCCCATTTAATGCTTATAATTCTATGTCCCACGTGACGTCACCGTCAGTCAGCTGTATGCGCAGGAACATACCGTTAGCCTGTGTATCGTGGTCTGTAGTATCCAGAAATACCTGAAGAAATGGCACACCCAAATGGAGTGCGATTCAATACACTCCACGATTGAAAAGAAGCTCAAAGGAAGGATAATCAATGTGCCAGCAGACTATGTTTCCATTGCTAGAACAGCACGACAAATTCCAAACCCTTATACGATTAAGTATTTAACTCACATTTTTTTTAAAGATTTTTCTGGGCTAAATTTTATAAAATCTATACTTCCTGGATTTAAGGTAGGATATCCTACAGTTCAAGATATTAAAGCTTTGAGGTACAATAGTTCCGGCTCTATTGACTTCAAGATTCGACACACTGATGAGTTCAAAGCACATCCTAATAGATTAAATAAAAAAGATATAATAAATATGCCAAATTTATACCAAGGTCCATTAAAAATTTTAACATCTGCAATCATTTGTGTGTGCGAAAAAAAAAATTAGCCTCGCACATTGTTCATTAGCCTCAGGATGATTAAGTCAATAAAATGTGTAAACGAGGAAACTAGATAACTATATCTCTATTTTGGGGTCTAGAATAAGCTTAAGGTAATTTAGATCTGCTACTGCATTACTATTGCACTAGCAGTCAGGTGTGCTTCTTAACCCAGATAAGGCCACCGTTCTTTTAAAAGTACACCTTATAAATACCTGAAATGTGGTAATACTGCTACTAATTCAGAGATGTCGCTTACTGTTTCGCCTAGTAGAGAGCCGTATGATTTTAATCTCTGACAGTCATTTTGTAAAACGAGTTTGTGGTGTTGACTCATTGAGGTTTAATAATTTGCTGTTTATTGTTTGTGAACATGGCGGATCGAAGGTGAGTAAAATTTATTGTTTTAATCCCGGGATTTCGAAAACATTTATATTTATGTATTTAATATACCTCTAATACCATGTTTAAAAACTTCTTTTAGTAGAAGAAATAATAATTTTCAAAATATTCGTTTTCAAAGTAAGTGTCCTTTATAAAGGACGGTGGCGTTTTCCACTGTTATACATCAATATAGTTTTTTAGGTACTGGACCAGACCCCTAACTTTGCACGAGGTAATTGACGAGATGGAAAACATGTCCGATGAGGAACTTCCTGATGATATAGTTATTTTTCCACCCAATGACGGCGAAGAGACTGATGAGGACAGCGGTAATGAAGATTCTGTTCAGATAGGTAACCTACCAGGAAATCAACTTCGCGTGGAGGCAGAGATAGTTGTCAATGATTCAAATATACCTACTTATTCTGACAATAGCGAAGATGAAGATGATATGCCATTGTGGGACAGAATAAAAAGTAGGTCAAAAAATGAAAATAAACTGACTTCTACAACAAGTGTAAAAGAACGTCGAGAAGAGCCAATCAAACGCCGCAAAAACTATAAATGGATCAAGAGGGATATAAATAGTAAGCTTGTACCGTGGCGTATGATAGAAGGCCCAAAAATCCTTCTTTTGCCATTAGATACCTTTTTTCTGTTTTTTGATGATACAATCATTCAGATGCTTGTTGATTTTTCAAATATGTATGCAAATTTACATAATCGTGAGGGCGATATAACTATAAATGAAATGAAATGTTTCATTGGAATTTTGTTATATAGTGGATACATAAGTGTTCCTAGACGAGACATGTTATGGGAAAAATCACCGGATTCTACACATGACCTTATAGCTAATGCAATGTCCAGAAACCGTTTTATATTTATTATGCAAAATATACATTGCTGTGACAATGCAAACTTAAATGTGCAAGATAAATTTTCAAAAGTTCGACCTATGATTGATGCAATGAATCAAAAATTTATCGATTTAGCACCACAAGAAGAACATCATAGCTTATACGAGTCGATGGTTCCATATTATGGAAAACATGGAACCAAGCAGTTTATCCGTGGGAAACCCATTCGATGGGGGTACAAATTCTGGATGGGGACTACAAGGCTAGGTTATGTCGAGTGGTTTGACCCCTATCAAGGCTCTTCTACTACTATTCCAGATAAATATAAACATCTTGGTTTGGGGGCTAGTGTTGTCTTACAATTTGTTGATGTCCTAGAGAAGAAGGCTCCCAAATTGTCCTATGATATATATTTTGACAATTATTTCACTACAATACTACTTTTGGAAGAGCTAAAATCAAGGGGATATAAAGGAACAGGTACAATAAGGGAAAATCGCTTGGGCAAAGACTGTAATATTATGACTTCAAACCTCCTCAAAAAAAAAGAACGAGGCTCTTTTGACTATTGTACTGCTGAAGACAGCGAAATCGTCATTTGCAAATGGAATGATAATAATGTCGTTTCCATCATATCCAACCACAATTCTGTCTATCCAACAAAGCAGGTAAAACGATATTCCCAAAAGGAAAAAAAGAGGGTGCTGGTTGACCAGCCCAATCTTATAAAAAAATATAATGAAAACATGGGTGGCGTGGATCGTGCCGATGAAAATATTAGCCACTATAGGGTTGCAATCCGTGGCAAAAAATGGTATTTTCCCATAATAAGCCAAATAGTGGATTTGGCAGAACAAAACGCCTGTCATATACATAGAATCGGAGGTGGAAAAATGGATCATTTACAATATCGTCGTTCAGTTACAGTGGGCATTCTTGAATCCTTCAAAAAGACCACGAAGAGAGGACCCAGCAAACCCTCAGCCAATTTGCATAATCACTCGAGATACGACGGGATGAATCATCTTATTATCTATAAAGATACTCAAACACGTTGTGCTCTGTGTCACAAAAAATGTAACTTTTGTTGCGTGAAATGTAATGTTGCACTGCATCCGAAACAATGTTTTTATGAATATCATACGAATTAGGCATTTAAGTTGATTTACTTTGATTTTTGTTATTAATAGAAATAAAAAAATAGGTTTGTAATTTTTTGCGTTTTTAATATTTACACTGATATCATGCCACCGTCCTTTTAAAAGAACACCCTTTTTTGAAAAAAGTATTATATTTTTGACACATTTTTTTTTTTAACTTTAATTTTGTAGGCATAAATAAGTGTTAAAATAAAATATTATTATAAATACACAAAAAAAAAGTTTTGACCTTATATGGGTTAAACCTATCGTGTACAAATGAAAAGGAAATCGACCATGATTCAGTTTAAGCCGAGATATTAGAGACGTGCAATTTTTTCCAAAAATGGTTATATGTGGAATTTTGTTTGGTAAAGGCGGGTGAATTTGAAAATAGTGACTTTTATAGTTGGTTACATACTCGCGATATAACTTTCCCATCTAGTTCTAATATATTTTTTTTTTTTGATGATTTATAATATCAGTAAATGCAGCCAATTTTGTTTGTACTTGTCCTGCAGGCCTCCTTAGTTTCCAGATCTACTTTTTCATTTCCTTCTATCCCGCAATGGCTTTTAACCCAAAAAAAAATAGATATTCTTATTTGAGTCTCAATATGTTTTTATTTCAAAGATAATTTCTTGTTTGCTATGTTTAACTGGAGAGCCTTGGATACACGGAAAAAAATGTGACTAGAAAATTTTACTACAATGTTGTAGTAGTAGACTTGTAGAAAAATACTTAACAATTTGTAGAAAATTTTACTACAATTTATAGTTAAAAACTATTAATTATTGTAGCAATTGAATTGTCGAATAAAATGCTACAACAATAGGAAAGAAGTCCACAATGTTTAGTATATTTTACTATTGTTTGTAGAAGTAGAAATTTATTACAATTATCGTAATTACTACTACTGACTTCTGTAAAATTTGTACAAATATTAATAATTATCTCTACAAAAAATAGAAATTTTCTCTACAAAAAATAGTACATCCCCTCTTATAATAAACATTCAATTTTGTTGAAAAA